GGAAAGTACACGAGCACATCTCCTAAAAGGCCAAGACGAAGCTGTCGTTGATACCCTCCAGCAATCTGTCCACCAACGTTTGAAATGTCGCTGGTCCACCAGCCACTCCCAAAGGCTTTCTTTTAAATTTAAACATGCCTTGATGACAGATGAGTGCAGTTTTTGGCACACCTTCCCCAGCGACAGGGATCTGGAAGAAACCTTGCGACAGATCAAAGCTCGAAAACCACTGCACCTAGCCGAGCTGTGCCAAGAGAGCCAGTCTGTACGGGGCATGGAGTGGACTGAGACCTTGGTGCGGAAGTTCAGGGACCGATAATCCACAGTCAGCCGAAAGCCTCCAGTCTTCTTGGCCACAAGTACTGGTGCGCTGGACGCCGACTTAGGCCATTTTCTCAAAAGCGCTAAAACGACGTACACAATATAGAATATAAACACGGGTGCTACTCACAACTGTATTGGCAAAGGAAGATGCAAGTACATATATATATATATATATATATATATATATATATATATATATATATATATGCAGTGAAACCCGTTTAGAACGAACCCACGTACAGCGAATTATTGTCGATATCAAACTTCCGGAAGTTTAAATAAAAATGCATGTAAAAAGTACTTCTTATAACGAACAACACATTGGCTATATCGAACTTTTCCCACCGGGAAGGCTCCCAAAAACACGCAAACAATCGTCTTCTAGCCTGCCCCCCCCCCCCCCCCCCCCCAACCACCAAAAAGAAAAAAAAAGTAGGAAAGAGAGAAAATTCCAAAAGCTCAAGCCTCGAACAAAATTGAGCGAAGTGAAGCAATTCAGAAGGGAGAAAGCTAAACAAAGAAACGCTCTGCACGCACGCACAGAAAAAAAAAAATCTTTTCAGCGGTTGCCCACGAAGAGAAGCGATTCAGAACGAAAGATAAGGTAAAAAAATCTGATCGCGCGGAAAAAAAAAAAGCGCGGTGTTACAAGGCAGAAGCGAAGAGGTGAGAAAGAAAGAGAAGCTCTCGCCTTATCGCACATCGTGGAAGTTCGTTGTAAATGATTTTTGCTATATCGAACTACTTTCTACATCGAACTTATCGTAGCGTTTCCTGCTGTTCTTTATAAACGGGTTTGACTTATATATACAGGGTGTTTCAGAGAACGCAGACCAAATCGCTCCTGCGAAAACTACTCATCGCAACGAAAAAAGGCTTGTGGCGTTTTGGTCCTGGGCCAGGGGTCCATTTAGGAAGATTATTAAAGTCCGGGATAATTAACTTGTTAATTATTTTTGGCTAATGAACTTTTTTAATGTTGTGTTTTAGAGCACGGTTCAAATTAGAAAATTGCTTAGCATCATCGAAAGCCACCAAACCAACAAATTGCAGAACGATAGAAGGCACGCGATGTATTTTACGGCTTTCTGAAAAAGCGCACAAATTCGACGGGTTTTTAAGTTTCGGTTTGTTATCGGAGCGCATCTCGGCCCCGGCAGCACCGCGCCCCGTGGAGAGATAGCGCAACCAGACTCTGCTGCGTCGCGCGATGACAGCGCAGCAGAGGTTGGTTGCACTATCTCTTCACGGGGCGCACTCGACCGGCTGTAAAAAGCGAGGCCTCGTACCACCTGAGTCGAAAGTAGTGGTGGAGGCCCGTATTCGAGGCAACGCCATGTTCTCTCCATGAGCCTATCCACAGCATGGGCTAGCTTTCTTAGACTGGCGAACGTTCACACTTCCACCAGGCCCTAGAATTTTGGGTGCAATTTGCGGAGCACTCGATTCACCTTGTCAGCGTCGGTAACCTCCTCTCTGAGCCACTCATAGAACGCTCCAATAACGTAAATGAAATCCTTGAGGTTCTCCTCTGAGTGCTGTGTTCGCCGTCAGAGTCCTTCTTTCAGCCGTCTCTTTAGGTCGACCGGAGCAAAGTCTCTCCGGAAGGCCGCAATGAATGCCGCCCCATTGTCGATCTTCCCAGTGAAGCGAAGCCAAAGTTTGGCGCTGACCTCCAGGGCCGCCGGCACTACATGGGTCAGGCGATCTTCCGGCTTGGCACTGTTCAAGAAGCAGAACGACTCCAGCCGATCCACAAATTTTTCTGACGACTGGAGATCTCTAAAACCGGCGAACTTGGGCGGTTCAAGCGGAACGAACCTTTGTGTTCCGGCAATGGTTGCGGAGGCTCCCTGGGGGGAGGCCACGGCACTTTAAGTTGCACCTGGTTGTGACCCGATGGGTGCCGCTAACAAAAGTTATCGCGCTTCAGTGGCGGCTTGCTCACGCTGCAGTGCCGAGCCATCCGTTCCGCGCAGCACAGCTTGGATGAAGTCCGTGACTTGTGCGTTCATTCTTTTGCCGGAGAAGCCCCCACTTGTTAGGGTTTGATTCGTCCAACAGACCTTTTCCTCGCATAAGACAACCGACTCCCCCCTTCCGAGCCCCTACTTCAACTCTTCTTCTCCCGTGATCATGCGGCTCGCTCTCTTCACGCCCCTGCGCCGCTGCGTCGTCAGGTGTCGTGGCGATCGTTCCGTGGCGTTGCCCCCTCCCAAAGTTACTAAAACACTCAGTTGGGAAACTCCTATAGAGACAGCTTTGAAAAAGTGGCCCCAATCTGTCTCCGAGCTCCGAGCTCCGAGCTCCGAGGTAATGACGAACACAACGCCACCACTTCTCCCGCAGCGGCCACTCGAGGAACTGCACGTGATTTCTATTTTGGCTTTAAGAACGGGACTTGCGATTGAGCCGCCGTGGGAGAGAGTCGTGTTTCTCGGCGCTCCCGCCGAGCTGCATGAATCGCCCCTGCCCGCCGCTCGCCCGCCCGAACCAGGACCCGAGCTACGTTTTTCCGCCGGAAAGCTTCGCTCGCCACCGGAAAGAGCTGCCCGAAGGCAAGTGAGCGTCACAGCCGCATTTTTTCCGAAGCCTCCGACATCGACGCCGCCGCCGTTCCCGGCCAGTGGGACGGCTGGGCCTACCATTAGGCCTAGCTCGCCCTGCCTTCGGCTACCATGGCTACCGCCTCCAGCACGGAACTACCGGCCTCCCCCGACACCGAAATGACACCCGACGCATCTTCGCCACCCGACGAAACGCTGACAACATCCAAGCAAGGAACTCCCGCCACCACCATCACGAACAGGCTCCCCCTAAAGAGAGCCCGCAACGAGAGCGGATGCTCCGAGCGCAGCCCGACGGATTTCGAGGACGGCCAAGATGCTTCCGCCGATTTCACCGACTCCGACAATCAGTTCCCCTGGATCACCGTATCCCGGAAGAAGAGGATCAACAAGCCGGACAAAGGCAGCAAACTACCCCGTCACGACCTGGACAAATACCAAGTCACCATCCGCACACGGGCCCGCGTCGACGTCTCAAAACTCCCGAGCTATCTCATCGGAGAACAACTTCAAAGAGCAATAGGCGAGACCGTTCTCAAAGATCGCCTCGCCTACCGCCGCAACGGAATGACGAATACAATTTCCGTCACCGTTTACGACGAACGACACCTAGCAAATCTACTTCAGCTCACGCACCTTGAGACAGGCAGCGGCAGAGTCGACGTCCAAGTCTACCGAACGGCCACCAGGGAATTCCCACGCGGGGTCGTTCATCTGACACCCGACATCCCACCGGCGAAACTCCTCGAGGGGCTTCGAGCCGACTACCATGAGATTGTTCAGGCCAGGCCGCTGGGATCCAACGGCACATACCTTCTGACCTTCCAAGGCCAGGGTGTACCCCGCCGCATCCGCGCCTGGCACGAGATCATACAAGTCAAGCCGTACCGCCCCTCCACGGTGGTCTGCAACAACTGTCACGGCCTGGGCCACAAGTCCGACATCTGCACGCAGGAAAAGCGCTGCCAGTCCTGCGACGGTCTTCTGACCGAAGGACACCGCTGTGAGTCAGTCAAGTGTCGCAACTGCGGCTCCCAAGACCACGTCGCCACCTCCCGGGACTGTCCAGAGAGGAAAAAGGTAGACTCTAGGATCCAAGCCCGTGCCCGACCACGCCCGGCCTTGAACCAACAACTGCATCGCCCGCGAATAGCAGTGGGAAACCAAGGCCAAACTCCTGATCCTCTACCACAGCAGCCAAAGTCGGGAAGGCAAGCCCAAACCCCCCATTCAGGAGACGGGCGAGCCCCGCCCTCCTCCAAGCAGACCAAAAACCCATCGCCCCGATCGACTGAAAACATTACTGACCAGCCAGCGCCACCGCAAGACACGTACGCATATAAAGCCACGCCTCGCAACTGCAGAACCCCATCAACCACGCCGCTCATGGACCAACGCAACGAGCTTCTCACCCTCTTAAGGCGGTATAAGGAGGAGGAAGCAGAGCACGCACGCATAGCTGCCGACCGCCGACGAAAAATGGCTACCCTACAAAAAAAGATAGAAGAACTGGAAGTCAATTTCCAGCCGGGCCCCCAGCATCAAGTGTCGAGCCAGCCGCAAGCTCACCCAAGCCCGCAACCACCTCTGCGAGACACGCCGCGATCACAGGCAAACCACCCTGCACCCCCTCCAGCAAGCAACAAGCAACCACAGCAGGAGCAATCCCAGCCTCCACCATCTCAAGGTGACCTCAAGTCCCAAATGCAAGTCTGGCTGCAACAAATGCAAGTACAACTCCAGCAGCAAATGCAGCAGCAAATGCAGGCCCACTTCAATCAACTCATAGCCGAGCTCCAACACTCAACCCTTGCCCCCCCCCCCCCCCCCCGCCGGCACCGCCGCAGTTCCAACTACGTCAGCCCATCCTCACCGTTAATGTCCCTGGACAATAAGCCGCGGAACAAGGGGGATCCACGCAGCAGTCACACCAGCAGTCCTCATAACCAGCAAACTCAAGGCCCCGGGAAATTCATGCCGTCACTAGCCTCGCCCTTGGTTCCGACACAACTTCGAATCCTACAATGGAACTGCAGAAGCCTAACCAAACGCAAAAACGAATTCCAGCTTCGACTGGCTCAACACCGACACTCGTACGACGCGATCTTGATGCAAGAAACCAACGTGAAGGACCCCAGACTCTCCGCATACAACTACTTCCACAACCCTGCGATCGAACGGAAATATACAAAGACCGGCCCTCCTGAAGCACGAGGACTGGCCACCGTCTACCTCAAGGGGACCGTACCACATGCCCAAATTGATATGCAGAAATGGTGCACACCAGACCAGGAAGTCACTGCGGTGCGCACACTCATAGACAACAATAAGCTCATCCTCGTGTCGGCGTACGTCCGCCCTACCGCCGAAGACCCCAACTTCAGTTGGATAGAAGAGTTACGAACGGTCTACCCAGACGATAGGATGGTCATAGGCGGCGATTTTAATGCGCACCACCGGGAGTGGGGCTACGACGACGATGACCAGAGAAGGGCCAGATTACTAGAAGCTTACGAGAAGGCGGGTCTCGAGCTCGCGAGCGACACGCATGAAAAGACGAGAGTAGGCACCTCGGCCAACCAGCAGGACACCAACCCCGACCTAACCTTAGTGGACTCAAGAATCGAGGGGATGGAGTGGTCGGTGTTCCCCGACGCGTGGGGCAGCGACCACTACCCCATAGAAATATCGATCCGTATCAAGAACAGGGCCAAGGCCAAGAAAACTGTGGTCACAGTCCTCTGGGACAAATTCAGAGCCCTTTTACGCGCCCAAATTGACGAAAACGACATGTCGACAAAACTCTGCGCCTTGCTAGTAGCCTCCACGAGGGAAGCCTCGACCAAGAAGGAGGTGAACTGGGACTGCCCCACACCGGACACCCACCTCCTATCCCTGTGGGACCACCGCACGCGCAAACTCACAGAGTACAGAAAAACCAAAGATCGGAACACACTGAAGGAAGTGAACAGAATCACCGCCGAAGCAGAGGAATATGCACGAAAGCTCAGAGTGAACGAGTGGCTCGACCATTGCGCTTCCTTTGACCAGCGTACGTCGATACGCAAGCTGTGGCGCACCTTCCGAGGCATGCTCGGTATCACCAAGGTCCGCAACACGATAGAAAACATGGCCCTAGCCCTGGACAAGCCCCTCGAGGACGTACTTGAAGACATGGGAAGAGCCTTCTTCCCCCAACCCTCGACGACCCCGAATGCAGCAATCTACACTCTAGAACAAGCACCGAAAGACCCCCCTCCGTGGAACACCGCGATCACCCGATGGGAGCTCGAGACCGCTATTGACCAAGGGAGAATAAAGTCTGCTCCCGAACCAGACGGCATCACCGCGAGCATGCTGCGGAACCTACCCGAAGAAGGAAAGCAGCAAGTCCTTCGCTGGTTCAACCACATGTGGGAAACCGACACCTTCCCGGACGAATGGCATGAGTTGTGGGTCACCCCGATCCCGAAAGCGGGTAAACCCCCGAACACACCGAAGAATACCCGGCCTATATCCCTGACCTCGGTAATGTGCAAGCTGTTTGAGAGGATCGTCCAAGCACGCATCACCTGGATCGCCGAGGACCGCAAGCTCTTCCACGCGGCACAAACGGGCTTCCGACAACATTTGGGTACGAGAGACAGCCTCCTACTTCTGTCTACAGACGTCTACCGCAAGGGAAGCACCTGCTCGCTAGTCGCGGTCGACATCTGTAAGGCATTCGACTTGCTACCCCACGAAGCGATCGTAAAGGCACTCCGAGAAGGTGGCATCACCCACAAGCCCCTCAACTTTGTGAAGGGGTTTCTGAAACAAAGGAAGTACTCCATCAAGACTGGCGACATATGCGGACCTCTAAGGAACAATAATATTGGTGTGCCCCAGGGCGCGGTGATCTCCCCAATCCTGTTTAACCTGACAACGGCCCCGCTGGCGTGGCGCTTGAACAAGATTTCCACCTTGAAGTTCACCATATACGCAGACGATATCACCATCTGGACGACAAGTGGGAACCCGGCGAGGAGGGAGCAGACCCTTCAGAAAGGACTGGACACCATTGAAGCATTCCTCAAAGAGACCGGACTCTCCCCGTCACCAGACAAAACCAGATACATGATATTTACCCGCAAAGGCCACCCAACTCACGACTTGACCTTCGGTGGTCTCCCCATCGCCCAAGCAGAGACGCACAAGATCCTGGGAGTGTTCTTCAACCAACGAAAGTCCCCCAAAGAATGGCTAACCAGGATGGCCAAGATTTGGAAACAGGGCACGGCGCTGGTCCGCCGCATCGCCCAAAAGACCGGTGGTGCGAGCGAGGAGGTGGCCAAGACCCTGATACGGGCCGTGCTAGCTTCCAAGGTACTTTACGGAGCAAACTACTACAAGTTGAATAAGAGTCACTGGCGAGCAATTGAAAGATGGCAGAATGACGCCCGAAGAACTATTGCGGGCTTACCGAGACACACCAAACTGGAGGAGCTACACAGGTGCGTTCCCCTTCCCAAACTACAGGACTTAGCCAAGGACCAGCACGAACTGCACCTCGTCTCACTGCAACACACTAGACAGGGCAGGGCCATACTACGACTCCTGCGACAAGACGTGTCCACGCTTCCTAAACTCGGCCGCCCAATCCCCCCGTGGGAAATAGCAGACGTTGCCTCCAGCACACCTATACCGCGGAATATGGGCCTGGACCAACCGGAACGGCGCCGGGACTACGCCCAAAAGCACCTGACCGTCGTAACCACGAAACTGGAAGACCCCACCACCATCGTGCTGTACACAGACGCAGCACATAAGGATCTAGTCACCACCACGGCCTGGCACGATTTCCGCCAAACCAAGTCATGGAGCCGCGAAACTAAGACCGCTGGAACGCCCGAGGAAGCCGAAGCCCAGGCGATCCTTCACGCCCTGGAACATGTCACCCAAAGCCTGAACTCACCCGTGAAGACGGTGGACATTTACACCGACGACCAGGAAGCCATACGAAGATGCCGAAAGCACGACCCCAACAGCCCGACCACCCGGCGCATTCTTGCACTCGCCAGGCGCCTCGAGAGCAAGAACGTTAAAACCACTGTACACTGGGTCCCCGGCCATGCCGGAGTGCCAGGCAACGAGGCCGCTCACCGGTCCGCGGAAGCGCTAGCAACGTTTCTCCTTTTGCGGCCACGAAGTGTGGACTCCCTGCCCCGCACTTCAGCCTACTCTGGCAGGACCGGCCCCAGGAAACAAGACGAGACAAGAGTCCGGACCCTCTACGACCCTGAAGACGCAATGAGAAAGGTCATACAAGACTTAAAGAAGAGGCTCCTGGCCTCCCTCCCGCGCGAACCCGACCCCATCCCGCTCGGCCGCTACTCCAGGAAGAAAATGGTCCTTCTGCGCAGGATCAGGACCGGCAGTGCCGTGACCCCTCACGACCGACGCAAGTGGGAACTGAGTGCTGGCAAGATCGGCAGAAACAGACCGCCAGTGTCGACAGCCAGTCCGCCGGCCTCCCCGCCACAGCCGCAACAGATGCAACGCCAACATTCACTGGAACAGCCTGAGATCTGTCCCTACTGCAAAGAAACCCTAAGTGCAAACCTGCACCACCTCGTGTGGGAGTGCGGTCACTTCACCAACGAAAGAAAGAAAGCGCTTAGTCTTCTTCCACCTGCATCGAGGCCGTCCAACCTGGAAGGCTGGGCCCGGCCTGAGGGAGACTCGGCCAGAATCGCACTGATCCTGGACTCATTGCTCCTGTACTTAGAAAACACGGGCCTGGAGTCGACGTTCTGAGCACGGCCGTTCCTTCACGTCAAAGACTTCCCCAGAACCTGTTCCCTCCTCGAACCACGCCTATGGCGACCGTTCGAATGTTTCTTCCAATAAACGTTTACTACCTACCTACCTACCTTTAAGAACAGATATAGCGGAAGAGGTTACAGAGGTGCCACCCCCGTCTCCCCGGGGGACGCGCCGCGTCGAACTACCGAAGTTAAAATGCACCTAGATCGGGACGCGCTACCTGAAAGGCCAGCTGAGGCATGGTTGTATAAAAACAATATTAATTGTGCCGCAAAAGCCTGCAAACTAAAGATTTTGAAAACATAACGTGCCCCTCTTTTTGTACTAAACTGCAATAAATTTCATAGAAAAGGAGTCTTTCCCGTTTGTTTTTACGCAAAACCAGGCTTTTAAAAAGCTCAAGGTGACCACAGTACAGACAAACGATAAAGAGGGGCGCTGTTGTCGCATTTAGGTCGGTCTCGGTGGACGCCAGCGGCTCAGGTTTCGACGGCGAGTTTCCCAACTGAGTGTTTTAGTAACGTTGCCCCCTCCTCACAGCACACTCTCGGCCGGAAGACGCTACAAACAAAATATTTTATCTTAAATAACATAGTAAAATTCTACTCGGTTTTTTAGCTTTTTCGCTCTAGAACTCGTTCAAGGAAAGCATTATTGAAGTCACAATCCCGCTGCAGCGCCTCGAACAGCGCTACACACAGTTACTCTGATTACTCTTAAATTCATTCTACAAACTCCTTATAGGATTTGGTGAGATACTTGCCATATTGTTTGTGGTTCCCCTAAATGTCTATAAGGAAAACTAGTAATCATTTCCATAAGCAGGAACAGTGACAAATTAAATCAGGATGCTCAAGCACTCACCGCGCCATGCCTGCTCCGGTTACACGTGCACGGTTACAAATAGTGCGTGCTTCTTTGGGAACATGCAGGCTATGAGGTGGGCAAGGACTATGTGTACCACTACAATGGAAAGCTGCAAGTCCAGAACCCTGAACAGCCCCTCCAGTCATCGGGATTCGTGTTTCGAAGCAAAGTCATCGCCCAGCCCAGTCCTGACCACACGCACTTCAAGGTAAAGCACATTGAGGCGGTGAAGAAAGTTGCACACTGTCATACACAAATCGGAACAGTCCTCCAACGCTACAAGAGTCCAGGTATTCCCAAAAATAAAACCTGACCTAATGTACATAACGTACATCAAATCCATACTGATCAGTAATAATTTGTACTGATACTTGCTAATATGCCTAGGTAATATAGAATGAAAGCAGGGTCACTTTATAGGCTGTAGGTTAATCTACCGCTTGAGCACTAAAGTTTCATTCAGGTTATCTTTGATGTAATATAGAATGAAAGCAGGGTCACTTTATAGGCGGCAGGTTAATCTACCGCCTGAGCACTAAACTTTTATTCAGGTTATCTTTGATGTGATATAGAATGAAAGCAGGGTCACTTTATAGGCGGTAGGTTAATCTACAGCTGCAGCACTAAACTTTAATTCAGGTTATCTTTGGCATCTTGCAGGGAGATACAATTACAAAATTATGTTCCCAAATCGCATAGTTGTACGGACGCTAGAACAACCTAAAGGCGTCTTTTTTTAAAGCGCTCTATGAATTCAATAATATTATCAAAAGCACGCTTATGAGCAGGACTTAACAAAATGTAAATTAATGTCAGCACTTTCGAGAAAGGCTTAGAAAACGGTCATAAAACAAAACAAGTCATTAGTGAATTTCCGAAGTTATTTTTCAACGATGATAACTGCACGTACTTACGTGCACTTACTTTATTTGGTTCATCTGTTCTAAGTGGCTGCCCAAAATATGCAGTTAGCTGTAACATTGTTTACTGATGCAACTCTTTCTCCCGCTATTACATCTTGTATCTAACGAAGTTTGGCTTAAGCCTTATGAATTTGTCATATGGTTACAGATAATCGATTTCGAGGTGGACAGTTTCAACGGCGAACATATCCAGCTGAGTGAACAAGAGTTCCACTATCACTCCACTGACGCGCTGAAGCAGTTCATTGAGAGGCCATTTGCTGGCAAGTTTTCTAAAGGAAAGGTGAGCTACGCTCGAACTCCTGTAATGTAACCATGTAATCTAACCAAGGTTAACGCATGTAGCTCGTAGCTGCAGAGCTGGGCAAGAACGAGCCTAAGTGGTCTAAGAACCTCAAGAAGGGAGTCGTCAGCGTGTTTCAGCTGGACTTGGTCAATGGGCGTCACGACAATCCCAACGCCAAGCAGTTCTACGTAAAGGAGGTACGTATGAAACCCTCACACCAGTGGATGTTTGAATATTAAAAAGCGCCGAAAAAGACAAGCGCAAAGGAGTGGAACGACACAAGGCGCACTTGCAACTGTTGTTTATTTTGAAAAGTACATGCATTTATAAGCCCCAGAACCCTGTTAGTCATCAGTGTGTCCCTCGCAATGCTTCTCTCAAATATTCAAACTCACTCTTTGACAGGGCGAGTGACGCTTCACTTATACACTCAACGCCCTTATTCCTAATTGCATACGCCTCATGCACCTCCCTGCGTGTTCGGTCGCGATAACGAGCCAAAATCTTAATGTCATGTAGCACTGACGTACACGGGTATCTATTACCATGAATGGCGAGATGGCCAGACGTGCTGGCTCGCGTGCCAGCCGCATGCTCGCGGGCGGGGTCATTCACGCATCTGCCCGTCTGGCCAATGTACACAGCGCCGCATGACAGCGGGATTTCATATACAACTCCTGAGGCACACTCGGCGAATTTTGTTTTGTGCTTTTTGCTGCTAAGATCAGTCTGTTGATCGGCAGAATTAATTTTATGGCAAAGTCGGAACATCCGATTGGGCGCTGAGAAAACCACAGGTACGTTGAAACGCTGGGCCATCTTTCTTTAAATTATGTGACTTTAAGTGTAGGTATGGAATAACCGCTGGCCTCATATTGGGTCTCTCGCGGGCGGGTTTGCCCGTTCCTTTTTATCTTTTTTACCAGGCCTTCAGCAACCTCAGTTAAGCACCTTTGCGGAAAGCCGACCTTCTGCAGTTTTGTGATCTGTCGCGCGAAACTTTCCTGAACGGAATGCTTGCAAGACTTCTAGAGAACGGCCTCCAAGAACGTTTTGGCGATGCCCCTTTTTACTAACTTAGAGTGAGCCGACTCAAATTGCAGGATCGCTTTCTTGGATCTCGGCTCATAAGTCCAACATATGTGGTCTTCTAAAAAACTTAGTTTAATGTCTAAAAATTGTAACTTCCCCTCAGTGGGTGTCTCAAAGGTAAAAGTCCAACCGCCCACGCAAGCACCGAAGATACGCATAATCGCAGATACAGCATGTGCCAAGGATGTCTCAGGTGCCTCACTAAATATAAGAAAATCATCTACGTATCTAAAAATCCTGTTTTTACCTTAAAGGTGACTTCCCTCCAAACTCATCTCCACTTGAGAAAGATATCGACGACTGGATTCCACTTTTGACTCACTTTAGATGGTTCGATACAAAACTAGTTAAGGTGCCGTTGAGAAAGCAGTCGTATAATAATCGATTTGACCATTCGTTTTACCGATAAAGGAAAAATAATTACGAATATGTAGGGTGTCTTAAATAGCGGCCAGGCTCTTTAATCGACCTCAAAAATTAGTTTCTTAACCTATCGCGCTACGCTTTTCTGCAGCGTTACCCACAGGTGGTGCTTTTTTTTTTTTAATAAAATGTGCAAAAACCAAGCTTACGTGGAAAAAAACTAAAAAAAAAACGAAAAAGGCTTCACTCTTATGGATACGTAGCGAAACCACTGGTCTTCAAACAAAAGGGCGCTGTTTGGCACGAAAGACAAGAGATAGCGCAAGCGGTCCCGACGCCAACTGCCGCCAACGAACGAACCTTCGGCGCCGAGAGCCGGCGTCTTTAGCAGACGATGTTATCGAGTCAAAACCGGCGCGAGCTTTTTTGATAGCGGCTGCCAATACACGATTTTACCATCCTTACTAATAAAACACGTTAAGTGAACACATAATCGATTAAAAAATGTTTGTCGGGTTATTCTGACTGTACTTGTTTTTCCTTTTTTTTTCGGGGGGCGGGGGGGCGGGGGGGGGGGGGGGGGTTTATAAGGTGTGTTTTGCAGGTCCTCGCTATTACCGTGCTTGTTTTTGGTTCTTCGATTGTTACCCGCGCTGTCTTCGACGTTTAACGTCGGTATGGTGCATTTAATTCCCAGCGAACGAGTTAAGGTCGTACTTTGGCACGGCGAGTGTCAAAGGACGAAAGAAGTCCGCTGACGCTTCCCAACGGAGTTTAGACGACGGATCGTCTGCTATTTGACGCCGGCTCTCGGCGCTGTATGCTTGTTCGTCGGCGGCAGTTGGCGTCGTGACCGCTTGCGCCATCTCTTGTTTCCGTTGAAAACGGCGCCCTATCGTTTGAAGACCGGTGACTTCGCTGCGTTTCCATAAAAGTTAAACCTTTTTCTTTCTTTTTCATTTTTTCCTCAGGTAAGATCGCTCTTTGCAAGTTTTACAGAACAAATCCACCATGTGTGGGCAACGCTGCACAATATCGTAGCGCGATAGGCTAATAAACCGATTTTTGCGGTCGATTTAAAGAGCTTGGCCGCTATTTGAGACAGGCCTGTATTTGCGAAAATGAAGCTTCAGAACGCGCTCATTGTGCAACGAATTCAACTAGAGTGGAAGTCGGTTCTAAAAACTGCGAACTTGAGTCCAGAGCATTGTCTAAATACGGTATAAATAGCACCACTTCCTCGGTATTTTACCGCTGTGTAAGCAAGAAAGAAAAATTCGTGGGCCTTCAAGAAACTGTGCGCAAAAAAAAAAAAAAAAAAAAAGCGAAGGTCTACGATCAAAGCGCTACCATGCAGTGGCACTCGAAGTCAATAGCTTTTTCAACGCCGAAGCGGCAGCGGTAGGTTGAAACCGGTTCAGCTAATCACATGTTCATGAATTCACAGAGCCACTGATTCTTCGTCAACAAAGACCTATCAGCTGACATGAACTTAACATAACTTTCTCAGTTGGTTATACCAAAAAAATGTCGGCAAGGAGACATAACTCCTTATTTCGTGTGTGCGCATTTATGTAAATGATGACGTGCGTCCGAAAACTAAACATTATCAGGAAGTAAAGGGGATCATTAGAACAATCAATCTTCTGCTGTTTTACGATTCCCAGGGGAAAATTTTTTCAAGTGTTATCCCGGGGTCTACGCGAAACATTTTCAGGAAGTTTAAGAGAAAGCATGTGTTGTTGTTTTTTGTTTTTTTTTCAGGAAAGTCCTCTGGGAAACTGCGACACACTCTACATTGTCGGCGAGAACGAAGGTGACCTCAGGGTCACCAAAATCAAGAATCTCAAGAAGTGCGATGAGCAGATCTACACTATCGGAAGAGTTAAGGGGCACAACTGCGTCGACTGCAAGGCGCTGGAGACCGTAAGCACTACTGGTGTATTGACACTCAACGGAATTACGTCTTTTAAGACCAGTAGGACGAAACCTTTTTTTGACGTTAGTGTCACTCCGGTTATGACGTCATTTACAGACGAAATAATCAATATCTAGTCTTGATAAAACGTTCTGTACCATCGGGTTCGAATGAAGTGCCAACAGTGACGAAACTTCGAGCGTACTACAGGCAAGATTCCAAGATTGAGTTGTGCTTGGCGAGGTTCAAACAGATCGGAGGAGGGCGAACACCCTCGCAGTGCCCCACTCTCCACCGCGCAGTTCTATCAGTTTCCAGAGGCCTCCAGGAGTCGCAGCATGTGTCGACGTCCACGCGCTGTTGTGTTTGCATTTCATTCGAACCCTGTGGTACCTCAGATTTGGTTGATGGGTTATTAACGTCAGTAGACAATGCAAATAAGTATGACATGTCATGAAGTTTTTTGTTTTTGTTTTACAGTCACTCTTACAATCTTTTGAGTGATAATGCAGATAAATGTAATCGGCTAAAAAGAGAAAGAGGTACTCATAAATAGCATGGATGGTCTAAGGGGCTTAGTTTGTGCAACACACTAAGTATTTCAGGACAGTGTCGTGTGGAAAACTTTCATTCATATCTCTATCAAATACAAAATAAGTGTAAGCATTAAGATATTTTTAAATAGAACTGCTTATTCAGTCGAAATGACATTCGTAAAAAAACTTACACTCACAGCATTTCGCGTTCTGGCATCTATGCTACGTGATTATTACAACTTTCTTGTGATTGGCTGTAGTCTCGGATCTGCATAAAACAAACCGTCAAATGAATCGAATTACTGATTTGCCTGACTAACACCAAGTTCCGCAGTAATGCCGCTCCCACTGGTTACGTGCCAGTAATTGACAGGTACAGAACACGGCTCTGATTTCTGAATTTGCAGCACCCCGGTCTAGCCACCTCTCAGATCCAGTACAGCCTGGACGGAACTCCCGAGCACTACGTCATCAATCATGCAAGCGCCACTTCGGCCACCCAATTCAAGCACTTCGGTGCCGGAAATACCGTCCGTGTACAAATTAAGTAAGACGCATTTGTTTTGTGAGATATGAATCTAATTTCAAACTAAAGAAAGCCACTTTGTTTGCAGAGTTTCGCTTGTGATGATATATCCAATTTAAAAAAAAAAGATGCCTTTACAACGTTCATGTGCTGTCCTTGTTCATTTATATGTATAGATATGTATATATACAGTAGTTAACAAAAAGATATAATATTTCGGTGTTTGAACTGTGATACAGATATAAAAATTCTAATGGAACACTATGTTAATGCATTTACAGAGCATAAACCGATGCTTACTTAAATATGAATCAATCAACTAGACGTCGAGCAATACTTCTGTAAAAGAAACGAAATATCATATCTTTTTGTTCACAACTGTATATAAATGCCCGGTGTTTTTGCGAAGACTTTCAAATATCCTAAAAATTAGGGCGTTTGAAAAAAGAAGAAGCTGTCTTCGGGAAGAAAATACCAGCCACGGCGGACGTCAGGAATTGTCAAAAACATACTAATAATCTAGATAATTATTCGAAATTTGTTATTTAACTTTTTAATTAGTGGAAATAGACATATGGTTCCAATTAGAAAGTTGCTGAGCGTTATAAAAAGCCACTAAATCAGTCATTTTCAGAAAAACTTTGAGCGCGTGAGAGGAGTAGGAGCGCACCAAAAGTACCACTCGTGGAGCAGGTACAAGGCTGGGGCTAAATACGCGGCGGAAAAATAGCGCGGGCGCCTTCCCGCAACCGCTAGCCTTGTACCTGCTCCACGAGCGGTAACTTTATTGCACTACTACGCTTCGCACGGGCTCATTGTCTTTCTGAAAATGACTGATCTAGTGGTTTTCGATAACGCTCAGCAACTTTCTAATTGAAATTATATGTCTATTTCTTCTAATTAAAAAGTTAATTAACAAATTTTAATTAATTAGCTGGCTACTTAGTATGCTTTTGGCAATTCCTGACGTTCGCCGTGGCAGGTAGTTAGTGCCCGAAGACAGTTTTTTTTTTTTTTCCAACGGCCTAATTTGTAGGATTTCTGATAGTCTTCGCAAAAACACCCGGTAGGCTAGGCCCCAAATGATCGGCTTTTGTGGCCACAACTGTGTCGAGTCTATCGTGGGGCTCTTGAAGGGGCCAGGTGTTTCGAATTAACATAATCCATTGACGTCATGAGCCACGTGATGTAGCCAAGGCGTGTCACTATTTCGTCTCGTGTAACCAGTCTTGAAACAGGTCTGTCTCAGGCCGAAACGTCGAAAAACTTTACGAATATGTTATAAAATTCCAAACAACCATCTCAAGTACGTTTTTCTGTCGTATATATATATATATGCGGTTTCATTTGTATTGGGGCAACGAGGGCCTGTCACATTTCTTATTTTGCTTCAAATTTTTATACTTCGTGTCACATATTGCAAGAAGAACAATCCTTTTTATTTTAATGCCCTGACATGTTTAGTTTTTGATAAAACAAATCTCAAAGAAGCGGGAAAGAACGACGAGGTTTTGACGATTGCCGTGTGTGGCGTTTTTGAATCACTCTCAATTTCAAAGTATTCAAAAGAGAGCATCTATTTATTTTTAGTGTGGTTTATATGCAAGTAGGTAAAATGACATTATAACTACTATTCATTATTCGTCACTCCAATCTCTGTAAAATCCCCAAACATGCCTCCGCGAACAACGGTGACCTAAATTGCGGATTTTTTTTGTTTATTTTTGAGTCGACGATGTTTAGTATCGCTTTTAAATAAATACCACGTGTAGAACCTTTCATTGCCTTCCAAATTAAGCAAGGTTTGCGTTTTATCTTGTACGAGTACGTTTTATCTTGTACGTTTTATCTTGTACTCAAAACCAGCGCAAGTAGTTCTAACGGAATGTATTCTGGCTAAAAGAAGGATGTAAAAAGAACGCGACGCGAAAAAACGAAAAAAAAAATTGAAAATGTCTTTTTTTTTTTTTTGCAGCGTGCTGAAATTGAACAAAAATTGAAAACCCTCTCTGTTTCATAATTTATTGCTCAGTACTCGTACAAGATCAAAACACAAAATTTGTTTAATTTGGAAGGCAATGAAAGGTTCTACAAGTGGTATTTGTGGTGAACCGTGAGCGGACATTTCAACGAGGTGCAAGAACGACGAAGAATACGGGATTCGGAAAGAAAAGAAGCACGAGACGACAGGCCGAAGAAAGAAGAAGGGGTGGCTGAAACAACGAGGACGACAGCTGACTGGGGGTTGTCTTCCTGGGAGCCGTCGACGCAAACAGAAACGACTGGGCGTAACTGCGAGGGACAACCGGGCCGTATTGCGAAGACGATGTTCCGTTGTCCCGGACGTCTCCCGGCGGCGGCTGCACCGACCATGGAAGACATCACCACATCTTTGCCACAACGCCAGGTCACCACATCGTTGCAACAACGCCACGTCACCACATCGTTGCCACAATTTCACCACCGTCGTTGTCAGGTGAAGTGAAGTGTTTCACTCGGACCTCCACAAACCTTTTTGACTTGAGACTCGCATTTATTATTCAGTAGATCATCAACTAGTTGTTTTATGACTACCCTAAGGAAATTGTGTATCCCATAACGTATTTCATGTTTTTTTTTAAATTTGTATCGCTATTGTTTTTCAACGGAACTACTAAAGCTCACACAAAAACAGTACTTGCGTCGTAAATAATTTAATGTATTGAAATAGAGCTTGACCTTAAATAACGAACCTCCTCACGACAGGACGAGGCAAGCCATGTTCTGCTTTTGTGTAACCTAAGGAAAAAATGAATACGAGAGAATTAATGTCGATGGGCGAGGTACTCGGTCTGAGCGGAGATGATCTACGCAAGTGGGTTGACGCGGAGCGGGAGCGTGAACGCAACGAAAAGCTAGCGGAGAGGGAAGTAACGAAAGAGCGTACGCGGAGCGCGCGCTGGCTCAATGCGAACGCGAGCGCTTAGCGCTTGAACAAGAAACTCTCCAACTAAAGTTGCAGCTCCTGGAAAGGCAGCAAAGAGGAAGCAGTTAACTCAGGATCGTCAGGCGAAGGAGGCACGTCACCAGTAACTGCAGCCGTTATTAGTCCCCACAAGCTCATCCCAGTTTTCGATGAAAAACGGGACGATCTAGATGCTTACCTACATAGGTTCGAGCGCATAGCCGTCGGACAGGGTTGGCCACAAGAGAAGTGGGCTACAGCCCTCAGCATGTGCCTCGTAGGGAAGCACTACGCGTTTTCGGACGACTTTCTCCAGTGGAGTCGCTAGATTGCGAGTGCACAAAGCGTGCCCTACTTCAGCGGTTCCGGTTTACAGCCGAGGACCACAGGGAAAAGTTTCGCTCCTGCAAGCCACAAAAGGGAGAGACCGGAGGCCAGTTCGCAGACCGTCTAGAAGGGTATTTTGATCGCTGGATTGCGATGAAAGAAGTACGAGGCCGTGCGGGGCCTGGTTTTCTCTGACCAGTTTCTTCGCAACTGCCACCCTAAATTGGCGGTCTTTCTTAAGGAGCGGAACTGCACAAGCCTAGTTGAACTAGCTAAGAACTCGGACAACTATCTCGATGCCCAACATCTATCAAACCTCAACTGGATGGGGAAAGAAACCATCGCATCTGGAGAGCTTGGGTAAAAGAAAAAGGGCAATACCTCCGCTGTGGAGAAGCCACGTTGCTTGGTGTGTAACAAAACCTGACACAAGTCAGCGGAATGCCGATCCCGGATTGGAAACCAGAAATTTTGCTGGATATGTAAAAAGGAGGGGCACCAGGCAAAAACCTGTCCTCAGAAAAACCAGCCGAACCCGCAAGCGTTGTGTATCCTTGCGCCACAGCCTACTACTGGCCCTAAGGCAGAGCAGCGTACGCAAGGGTGCTCCAACACCCGGGAAGTACATTCCCGAATGGTCAATGTCGTTCAAGATCGTCTGGAAGTTGTCGGCATGGTTAAAGCTGATATGCCAATCTCTGAAGGCACGTTGAACGGAGAATCGGTTGTAATCCTCAGGGACACGGGTAGCAATACTGTGGTAGTCAGACGGCAATTGGTGCCATCTAAAGCGTTCACTGGCACAGAAGGGCCAATATACCTTGTCGACGGATCATATCAGACACTACCAGAAGCTAAAGTGCAGGTCTCATGTCCATACTACAGCGGCACAGTCAGAGCCAAGGTAATGGACAATTCACTGTACGATGTAGTACTTGGAAATATACCAGGATGCTTACTACCAGGAGAACCAGATTTTACATGGCAGACTGAGACTGGGTGCACGCAGCTCGAAGAAAACAATGTTCCAACCGATCTAGTGATCACCAGCAAGGAAAAAGGTGTGCCTAGCATAGCATTGGCGGAAAGGGAGATTTCGAGAGACGATCTGAGTCAGCGTCAAAAACTCGACCCTACTTTGTCAGTATGCTTTAACAAAGTCGGGCAGAGGCAGATTTCGAATGGGGCCATACATCGGAGTTTTACCTATCGAAAGGGGTTTTGTTTCGCCGGTATGTCCTTACATCTCGAAAATTGTTCAACCAGGCGGTGGTACCGCAAGACCTGCGACCCTACATCCTGAAAGTGACTCACGAAGGAAAAATGGCAGGCCACCAGGGTATCAAGAAGACGACAGATCGCGTGCTGGCAGCTTTCTTTTGGCCAGGAGTGCAAGCACAAATCAAGCGATTTGTAAATTCTTGTGACAGGTGCCAGAGAGTGACCCCCAAGAAAAAGATAGCAAAGGCTCCGCTTGGGAAGATGCCGATAGTCGAAACGCCATTCGAACGCGTCGCAATCGACCTGATTGGACCTTTCTCGCCCTCATCAGACACGGGAAACCGCTTCATTTTGACCATGGTTGACTGTGCTACAAGATATCCCAACGTAGTGGCGCTTCCATCGATGGACTCAGAAACCGTGGCCGAGGGTTTGATCCAGATGTTCTCGCGCGTTGGAATACCACGGAAAATACTTAGCGACCAGGCTCCAGCGTTCACTTTAGCCTTGATGAAAGAGGTAGCCTGCC